ATGCCCAGCAGTAATATCAGATCATATCATCTGTACTTGGTTAAACTACTATCTACCTGACTCTTTTTTTTGTAGCTGAGGTGTCTATGATCTGTTTGATGTCATGCAATTCTAACAAGTTATTTTCTTAGCACATTTAGCCTGTTTTGTCACATTGTTGATTGAAGTGTGTTCTTTATTCTCTTAAGCATCAAGAATGATCTTTCTCCTGAGCAATTGCTTAACATGAGGCACAGGTACATCCTTAAGATTATCAGGATATTTGAAAAAGTGGATTTCAGAGATTGGTCACATATCATTTTCAGCATACTTTGTTCCTTCGATTCTGACAGGTTTTCAACAAACCTTGCCTTACAGAGGGTGGCAAATTAAACAATTCCTTCGTCTATGCAACTCTCCAAATCTGTTGGACATGTACTAATCAGCTTTTTGGTGTCATTGTAGAGGACTTCTGTAGGCATGGACTTCAAGTTTCTTAGAAACCCAAATTTCCAACTGACTTCTTCATATGTCACTATTCAGTTATCTACTGAAAGTGACAATTTGTTAATTATTGTTAAGAAAGTCTGAACTTTATATTGAGTAAAGAGTGAAAGATCACTGCCCTCAGCATCCTCTTCGGCCAATCATGTATTTCTCTTCCTTTTCCTCGATCCTTTGACCTTATATGTCTCACATCTTGACAGTGATTTACCCTTTTCCTCGTATTTGGGAAATGAAAATTTGTAATTCCTGCATGAATGTCTTGAGAGATTTTAGGAGGTGAAAAACTGTATTGAAATCCATTTGAGAGTTTTGTAATGAATGACGTGTCTTGTAAAACCTCTCCAGGATAACACTCCATAATTCTGCCATTATACTTGTTCCTAGTTGTTCCAATTGTTGCATAAGGCTTCTTGATTTTAAGCACACTTGAGGCTTTTCAGAGTCATCGTCTGTAATGGAAGTGAGGATTTGTGTTATGGCTTTATACCCCATTTTTAAGGCTCATATTGCATCTGAATGGGGTTTCCATCTTGTGTCTGATAACCTATTTATCGTTGGGAACCCTAGTTTTTTCAAGGATATCATGTAGGTGCTTCCACTGATGAATTGAAACTGAGAAAAACACAATAGACGTCTATACAAAAGCAAAGAATAAACAAGCTTAAAAACAAAAGTCCAGAACACATCATCCAACCAAATTGAGTGAATGAACACTGCAAGAAATGCAGTTTGCTGGGAGGCTCTTCTCCTTGATCAAGGCTTGCATACCAACATATTTACTGCTTATGCTGGATGCCTTTTCATAAGACTGCCCATGGCAATCTTGAATTCTTATATCATTTTTTTCAAGGAAATTAATGAGAACTCTAGCAAATTCTGCTCCTATGTGATTGCTTATTGGTAAGAATGTGACAAATCCCTATACAGGGCCATCATCTAGAATGTACCTAAAGATTATTGTCAGTTGATTCATATCAGATATGTTTGGAGTAGAATGAACAAAGACTGAGTAATACTTGGATGTTTTGATTTCCTGGATAAAAGCAGAGAGAACTTTGTGTAGGATTTCTATGAATTCATCATATACAGTTGAGGATAAGTGTGAAACATGACCTATTCCCTTGTTTGCACATTTTTTAATGTGTTCAGCAAGAAATGTATCATACTCAGTCAATAACTCCAGTATTCATTATGCATTGACTTCATCACTTCTTTAGAATAGCTCTCTGAATGATAGAAACTTTTATGACTGAGAGAATATGCTCTACAACTTGGTGCCAGTATTTTTTCTCTGTCTTCCTGTGCTCTGTTAAAGTTTTGTCAGTTTGTCCACTTTTGGTTTTACAAATGAAAAATTTATTGATGCAACGAACTTGTTTCATGCTGAAGTTCCTTGTAGCATGTTTAAGTCAGGGTAACTAGTTGTTACTAGTGAAGAAGTTTCCAATGCTGTTGAAAACAATTTGCATATATCACAAAAGACTTTCCCCTTCGACAGTGAGTTGCAAGGCCAGTCTTTTTTAACCTTTTCTTCATTCAATTGCTTGCAATAAAAAAAAGAGTTTTTGAGCATTGGTATTTATACTTGTCTTCCAGAACTGATTTTGTAGATGCACTGAAGTCTGCATCCATGTACTGGTAAGAAGTAATTTCTAATGCACAAACAAAATCTCATTTCGCCAGAAACTTGTCCATGTCCCAATATCGAATTTAAAGGATAGTTAATTATCCTCATCGCCATTGCAATAATTGATTTATTACTGTTGGTAGGGGTTCAATTCAATTTGATGAGGCTGGTGGGCATCAACATCAAGAGTTGTAGTCTCTACATGATTGTTTTTGCAGTCTTGGTTGGCAGTTATGTTTCCAGCACTTTCTGATTGAGGACAAGGGCTTGATTTGTTATGATGAGGTTGACGGTTATCAGCATTCAGAAATTTAATTTCTACATTGTTGCTTCCAGTGCCTTGGCTGGTGAGGGTTTAAGCACTAGAGGACTAAGCCCATAAATTTGTTAGCTTCCTAGATTAGGTACTACTTTTTCTAATTTTTTCTTCCTCTTTCTTCGACTTTAGCTTTTCTTAACCACTTTTTGTTTGTACTTCTGTATTATAGATAAGATGAACACTTAATGAATAAGGTGTGTGTGCATGTATAAGCATACTTGTGTGTGTGTGTGTGTTTGAGTGTCTGTGTGAGTGAGAGATGTCAGAACAAGCTACCTAATAGTGTAAAAAAATGATGTTTGTCAAGTTGTGAATGAATTATTTACAGCTGATAAATGGACCAGTATAGGCCCCAAGAAATTATGTTTTTTTTACAGGATTTACAAATTCTGTTCAGGAAATAAAAACAATTGATACAATATATCCTAAAGGCTTAAAATACTGTTAGCAATGATTGAACTCTTTTCTTGAACAAAATCCATATCCTTTGGGAATGAAAAATCAAAATATATAGATATCTCCAATCTAGCTTAGCAACTTAGGTCTAGTCATTTTCTAGGCCTACTGCTTTCTTATAAGATAAGAAACACCATGTCAGGTGCAAGCCTCGAGGGAGGAGCTTGGCTGATAGTAGCATGAAAATATGGAGTGAAGAGATTTTGATTGGTCGATGCCTATTATTCAATTAGTGTGGCTAGGTCTAGCCTTGCTCAGACCTACCACATTTGCATCGCAAATTGTATGCAAATGTGCTAGGTCAGAATGAGTCTGCACCAAGCCACACTGTTCAGGAGTAAGCCAATCAAATCTCTGCCCTCTTTTTTCTCACTTTTTTTGTCTCTCCATAAATAAGTAGACTTAAATGATTTTAACCCTCATTTTCCTAAAAAAAATGAAAACAGGTCTTTTTTTTTAATAATGGGCTTTTTGAGCCCAGGCCTGGGGAAACAGCCACAATAGCCCCTCTATCTAATTGAGGTTTTGAAGATTGTTAAGGGAATTGATAGTTTCAATGCATCATCTTTTTTTGTATTTAATGTAGAAGATAGTAAAACTAGAATACACAAATAAAAATTTTGACAGGCAGGAGTCATCTTCAACTTAGCTTTATTTTTCATTATTTTTTGACTTCAGATGTGGTAGATACAGTTAATTTAAGGGAAAGCTGGTAAATATTTGAAGGATAAAGGCTGGTTTTGAGTTTTTCAGTGTTTAATTTAATGTATAGGACAACTTAGATGGATCAAAAGGTCCTTTGTTGTCCTTTGCTACTATGTTATATTAAAACTCACTGAGTACTAATATGATTAGGTGATGAATCGTATGGCTAAATACTTTGAACTTTAACATTGAAAGTGATATGGTAGTTAGGAATGTAGTTCGATTATTAATTTTATTTTATGAACTGTGTTTATTTGATCAGGTTGATGGTGTATTTAATGTGCTAGGTCAGAATGAGTCTGCACCTAGCCACACTGTTCAGGAGTAAGCCAATCAAATCTCTGCCCTCTTTTTTCTCACTTTTTTTATCTCTTCATAAATAAGTAGACTTAAATGATTTTAACCCTCATTTTCCTAAAAAAAATGAAGACAGGTCTTTTTTTTTTAATAATGGCCTTTTTGAGCCCAGGCTTGGGGAAACAGCCACAATAGCCCACCTATCTAATTGAGATTTTGAAGATTGTTAAGGGAATTGAACCTGTTCTCGTTCCCTTTGTTGTTGAATGCTGGATCTCATTTTTTGGGCCTGCACACCCAATATTCATCTACTTGAGTGTCAGGTGCTTTCAACCTATCATGGATTCTCTATCCTGCCCAGACAAAATTTATCCAATGGAGTGGTCTCTAGATCCTCAGGTTATCCAGTGGTTATGCACTCGGGTTAGTACTCTGTACCTGGATACATTTAACACTATCCTCAATACCAAATTACCTCAGTTTTGGTCTCCAGTGCCTCATCCACTTGCTCTGGTTGTCGATGCATTCAATTGGGAGTGGACACATAAGTTCCTTTATGGATATCTTCCTATCTGACTCCTTCCCATGGTGAGTTCTACATACAACTTATTGTCAGTAAGGTTTTTTGCTGCACAATTCTCTTGACTGAGCTACATATCTCAATCACTGAAAATAATAATAAACACACACACACACACACACCTTTATAGTTCTTTAATCATTCTCCTACCAAAATAGAGGCTGGTTTGCCTTCCTGTATGTTACTTTTTTATATTTATTTACTTATAAACATTATTAACAAAATTTATATATCAGTATTTTATGCTGCTTCAATTCTTTATAGCACTCCTAACACCAACTATGTTTTTGTAGGATTTTTAGAAAGTAACTAAATGCTACTGCATGCATTAGGTGAGCATTCTCATGTACATGTAATATTACCTTGTGTTACATAACTAATGAATTTTAAAGCCATGTAAACCAGTATTAAATACATTTATATACTGGGATATTTTTTCATAAAGCTGATGAATATTCTGCTTTTATGTGTTATCATTATCATCTTTTGTAATATTACATTTAATCAGTTCTCATGATTTGCATTTTCAGGATGCCCATGAACTCTTTCATGTTCTAACAACAACACTTGAAGAGGAAATTAGCCAGTGCCATTCTATTCCTTCACTACTGGATGTTAGAGCTTTACAGGTACTTATTATGCATATACATATGTAAAGGTTGGCAAGGGTCGTAAATTTGGAACTGGGTACCAGCTGTGAAAATACCTGGCTCTTGTTTGGGTAATAAAAAGCACTAATAAACAGTTGCATTACATTGATCACAACTATTTTTATTTGTACTAAAAAGAGACCTGTATAGGGTAATTTGAAACTCGAGTTTTTTAGTATCCACGCCAAATTTAATATAAAGAACAGTATATAAAGGGTGGGTAAAATATACCTTCATATTTTTACTATTTTATCTTTCAGCTGTCTGCAATTACTCATAAGTTTTTAGTCTTTTTGTTACATCGTTATTTATGTTATTGGTTGACTGTGGTTCATCCATTTAATTATTTATACTTCAAGTTGTATTTTATTACATGTAAAATTTTGTCCATTTTGTATGTTGTAATAGTAATGTGTTATAAACATTATATTGTGTTTCAAGTCAGTCTTAGACATATCATGGGGCTAACACGTTTTTCTTTCATACAATTCTTAACTAGTGCAGTAGTAACTACAAAAACAACAACTTGCCTTTCCAGTCATTCCTTGTAATCCACAATTACAGATTTACAGACAACTTAAGGATATTTATTAAATCTATTTGGAATGTATAAGATGTGTTAATCCAACTTGAGCATTTTGTTAAGAATTTTAAGCTTAAAAGATTAAGAAGCAAAGAAATAGTACTAATTTTCTTCAGCACTTTGTGTAAGTAACTTTATCTGACTTTAATATAGACTTAATATAGTTCACCTTTCACTTTTTTTTTTCACACAGAGTAACCAAATTCTGGAAAGATTTATCACTAGTTTGTTAAACAAATATTCTCACTGCTGATATATATATATATATATTTGTACTGAACAGTATGTTCTTTGTTTTTATTTTATTTTTTATCAGTAAACTGAGATTGACAAACTGAATACATCACACTTGGAGATATTTCTTACATTTGAAGTTCAACAACCAAAGAAAAAGGCAAAGATTTAGTCAAAATGTAGTTGTTAATGTAGAGTTAAAACATTTTGCAATGAGTTGTTTTAGGTGTTTGATTATTTAATGAAAAAATGTTATTAATAAAACAACATCTTAAAACATATTTTTTTGTATTTCAATGTATGAAAAGATTCAAAATTAATCAGTTGATCATCGAGATTAACATTTTATCTTTTGGTTCTAATAATATAATATTTACACCACCATTCACAGTTTGCTCTTGAAGGAGAAAGGTCCACCTTTTGAAAGCACTTGGGTCATAGGGTTTTTATCATCTTATATTAAAAGTAATGTTCTTTTCCTTGTATATCTATGGTGCTCTTTATGTGTGGGCAGATGATACATCTGTTTTGTTTACATGTATGAGTGCCTGGAGTATCACATTGTTTTGTTTTTAGGTTACTGTGTACTAGGATTTCTTTTAGGTTTGTGTGTTGGATGGATCCTTCAAAATTGATTTAGTGGTTGGTTCTTCTGTAAGTATTTTGTAATTGTTTAACATAATATCTTTGATTTTCTTGTTGATCTGATGATATGTTAGCACAAGTGAAATACAGTTGACATTTTCTTTCTTGGTTGGTTGAGTGTTTGTTTCTACATATATTAACTACTTTTCATAGCTCCATCATGAATGAGAGAATCAGAATTATCTCTTTTACAAAAAAAAAGTTTTCATGTCTTTTGGTTGTAGTAATGATAATGATTACATAGTTTGTGCAGTCATAGAAATTGTGAGTGTGTTATTGCCTTTTTTTTATTAAACATATGGGAAGGTTCAAAATGTAGGTATGTGTGTGAATCTGTTTCTTTATATTATGTACTAGTAATCAAATGGTCTTCTTGTATGTATATTTTATGTCTGTATTTAAGTATGTCACTTTAATCCAGTAAAATAAGTAAAACACTGATTGAGTACATGATACCTACTTTAAATATGTCACATTAATCCATTGAAATAAGTAATGATTCAGTACATGATACTTGCTGTAAATATGTAACTTTAATCCACTCAAATAAGTCATGTAATAATTGAGTACATGATACCTACTTTAAATATGTCACATTAATCCATTGAAATAAGTAATGATTCAGTACATGATACTTGCTTCAAGTATGTCACTTTAATCCACTGAAAAGAGTAACATAATGATTGCTTATTTGATACCTACTTTAAATATGTCGGTTTAATCCACTGAAATAAGTAAGATCATGATTGATTATTTGTTGGCCCATTTGTTGATTTGGCTCTTTTTTTTACACACATGGTTTCTCAGTTGTTGGGATCTTTTGGGGAGAGATAAATGTTTTGTCCAACATTTGTTTGCCATCTCCTTATCTGAGAGACTTATGCTTGGCACTTTTCTCCATCTTTCAGTGTTTGGAGATCTTCCAGTGACTTTGGAATTCCAAATGGAATCAGAGAGATGGCAATCTTCTTTTTCCTTGTTGCTTGACAAATTTTCTAGCACAGAGCCTCGACCATACCCAATTTCTGTTCCCCATCCTAATCCTTCCTAACCTTTACATGTTCCTTCCACTAGGGGATCTTCTTCTCATCATTTTATTCAACACTGAGTGTCAAGTTGTCCTATTTGTTCATCTGTGACAAAATTTTGCCAGGGATCTATGAGTACTTCTGGTTTGATCCAAGGGATTTGTCATCATCCATTACCTCTCCCTTCCTCTGTTGTCTCGGATACCAATTTCCTTTCCATTGCCTCAGGATCCAACCACATGTCAACATCTGTCCAAGGCATTACAGGATCTTCTCTATCAGAGTACCATCAAACCTGAGGTTCATTCTTCTCTGGAAATTTATTCCAGGCTGTTTGTTGTCCCCAAGAAAACCAGAGACTGATGGCCAGTGATTGATCTGTCATGCCTCAATTGCTTCTTGGTGCTACCTCATTTTACCACTCTCAGGTGAGCTTTTTTTCCAGCTTTATGGATGACCAAGGTTGACATCTTGAATGCTTATCTCCATTATTCCATATCCAAACAGTTGAGACAATACCTTCAGTTTGTTCAGCACAGGGTAGTTTATCATGTGCTTCTTTTAGAGGTGGACTGGGTCAGTTGGAGGATCAAGTTGAAGAAATCCTTCCTTGTTCCTACCCAATATCTTATCCATTTCGGTGTTTTGTTCAACACTCACCTTAGCTGGGCCCAACCTTCTCCTTTTCAACTCCATTTGATAGAGCTAGCAGTCATCAATGCCCTTACTGCTCCCTTTATTACTGCTTATGAGGTCCTATCTCTTTTGGGATGTAGTTCTCTATGGGGGCACTTATCCCCATGGGTCATGCTCATATAAGACTCCTTCGGTGGACTTTTCACGACCAATGGAACTTTGTGCAAGATCTATTGGATATTCCTCTTACCTTTCCTCCTTCCCTTGTAGATGACCTGCATTGAAGGTTGAACAAGGCTCAGAATTTGGCAGGGGTTCAGCTTCCTCCTCCTCATCCAGATTTACATATTTTCATGGTTGCTTTGCTTCATGGAGTCGAGCAGTAATTTGCTTCAGGTCATTGGTCTTACCATATCAATATCCTGAATATTCTTGCTGTCCATAGGGCTTTGGATCATTTCCTTTCTCATGCCCACAATTGTCTGGTTATGATCCCTTCAGACAGTTTTATGGTGGTGGCATATATCAATCACCACTAAGGCACCTGTTCTCGTTCCCTTTGTTGTTGAATGCTAGATCTCATTTTTTGGGCCTGCACACCCAATATTCATCTACTTGAGTGTCAGGTGCTTTCAACCTATCATGGATTCTCTATCCTGCCCAGACAAAATTTATCCAATGGAGTGGTCTCCAGATCCTCAGGTTATCCAGTGGTTATGCACTCAGGTTAGTACTCTGTACCTGGATACATTTAACACTATCCTCAATACCAAATTACCTCAGTTTTGGTCTCCAGTGCCTCATCCACTTGCTCTGGTTGTCGATGCATTCAATTGGGAGTGGACACATAAGTTCCTTTATGGATATCTTCCTATCTGACTCCTTCCCATGGTGAGTTCTATCATCCATTGCTCTCTGTGTCAAGTCCTTCTGATTGCTCCTTACTGGCTGGCCCAGCCATGGTTTCCGCAGCTGCTGCAGATCCAATCTGCTCCATCTTAGCCTTTTCCCAGCACTCCTTCCCTTCTATGGGAGCCTCAGTCACAAGTACTTCATCCCGCCATTCCTACCCTTCCTCTTCACTCCTGGTTTTTGTTTGGTCCTTGATGAGGAGATCCAGTTTATTATAGCAAATAGCTTCATTGTTGGCATGTTCATTTCGATCTTCCATGGAGGTTTATCAATGTAATTGGAACATTTTCTGCCATTGGTCTTTGGGTCATGGATTCTCCCCCGTTCGTTCCACTGTTCGTCGTCATCTCAGATTTTCTCACTTGGTTATTTGATCAGGGGTCTTTGATCTTTTCAATTGTGGATTATTGGGCAGCCTTATCCCATAATTTTAATTTTTCCTGGTACCATAAAGTTTTTGTCTCTTATACCTTGTCACTCTTGTTACATTCTTTCCAGATTAGTCGCACTCCAGGGCATGCTGTTTTTCTGGATTGGGATATCAATGTGGTGCTTCACTGTCTTACTTTACCTCCATTTGAACCTTTGTCTTCTTGATCCATGTTTCATTTATCCCTTAAGGTGTATTTCCTCTTCCTCTTAGGCTGTGGATGTTGTTGGTCAGATTCGTTTGCCATCAACGTTTTATGTACTCTGTACCATTCCTCTTATCTTCTTGTTTACCCAAATTGATCTTTCCTTCCCATGACTTTGGTGGCTCTGGAAGGTTATTCCTCCATCTTGCTGATTTCCCCTTCCTTCTATTTCCCGTCTTTTTTCCAGGTCTGATCCAAATAGACTTCTATGTCCAGTTCGTGCTCGTCGTTGTTATATCACACATATGGCTTCCTTCCATCATAAGTGTTTCAATCTACTCATCCCTTGACAACTATCTTCTGTTC